TTGATTTTTGTTTGTTTATTTTTCTTTTTCTTATTTCCTTAGAAAAGAAAAAAGGAGCTAAAAAGAAAATGTAGAGTTGTACAATGTATAATTGTGTCTAAAGGTGATCTGCAGTATTTAAATTTTTTTCTCTGTATCACTCCTGATGGGAATATATTCTTACTAATAAATTTTTCAAATCCATTCTCACTTCTCATCCTTCTATTTTTTCGGATTACTTTCTGCCCTTTATTACGTTTATGTCGTTTTGTTTTTTTTTTTTTTTTTTGCTAATAGTTAAAGATAATGAAGGAAGGCAAAGGAAGACAACCAACAAGAATGTGACGATTCAGTATTTTATTTCTCTGCTTTGGTTAAAAATTTGCTGTCACAATGCAAATTTTTCTGATAGTTTTCCGTTATATTAGCAGAACTAATTGTCAGGAATTCTGGAAAGGGGAGTGGGAAGTGGATGTTATAGATGAAAGACAAAAACTCGGACAGCAGATTGAGTTTACTGTTTTTTAAACAACATTATTATTATTATAGTTATTGTTGTCATTATTATATTATTATTTTTTATTTTGACTTTTATTATTATTATTTTTGTTTTTGCGACGAGGTACCTTAACTGCATTGCTAAATATCGTTGCAGTAAAGTAGAGTTGACGTACTTGCTCTTTTTGTTTTGAAAAATGAGAAAAGCGTTTTAGCTGAAACCTCACTTGAGTTTGTCACTACTCACGTTACAACGTCAGTTTTTTTATCAGTTCTTTGGTCTTATCAGTCCATCAAATGTATCACATTTTTAGTGAAAATTCTGTTTTACGTAAATTTTGTTTCAGCTATTGAGTTACTGAGTAATGACCATAGCCCTGATTAAAGGTGTCGTTTTTGTTGTTATCTATCGATGTTAATTTTTTTGGTTGTGAGATTTTGTCGTTACCAACAGTTAATGCTGAGAACAAGTTTTTATTAGTACTTCATCTTTGTTTAAAGTACCAGCAATCAACAAGCGCACGAATCTGTTGATAGGAGAGGAGAAAAATCAAAGTTTGTTTGAGTAACTGTTTATAAGATTTTATTAAAAGAAATGAGACGAAATAAGGGTCTGTAAAGTAGGAGTGTACAAATACGATTTGGGGCCAAAAAGCTTCAGTGGCATTACGTTGTTTCATTTCACAAAAGTATTACTAAGTAGATCATAGTTTTGCTATCTGCAGTTATTTGATTGAGTCTGGATTAGTTGAGTTACAGCATTAATACAATATAATTGATGATTAGTTTTGCAGTGATATTGATCGGAAACTTTTGAAGATAAAGGGTATGAAGAATTTATGAATTCAGAGTCTATAAAGGTAATGAAAGAAATCCTGCGATTGATAGAAATATTCATTTTCTGAACATTTCTGAACCTCGAGAAAATTATCAGTGTTACAGATAAGACAGAGGTACAGTTACGCTGAATTAAGCTTAGAAATATTTTTTGTGTAAGTGATAGTCAAATTCCACTTTTTTGTGTATAGAAGATTAAAGGATTCACTTTTTTTTCCTAGCTAGGCATGATCTCTGTTTAGAAAGCAGAGATTTGTCGAGACCGCAGTATCGATTTCAAAGTTCATAGAATTTAGACGGGCTGAACAAGCTGTGTTCGCAAAATCAATATTATTACAAATACAAGACAGATATTTTTTGAATTGAGACTGGTTTCTCAAGAGTAGAAAATTCGAATCACAATTCTGCTTTTTAAATTTGCTTATTTTTTTCCTCAGATATTTCTTTTTCTCCTCTATTCCACGTTCACTGAATAAATGGAAGAGTAGAACTAGTGAAAAATTGTTTTCAAGGTATTAGATTAGCAGAGATGTGGATTAGCAAAGTTTATTTTTTGATTATCAATGTCCATCTTGCAAAAGAATTTAATTTTATTAAAAATA